TGGTGATGATGTCCTAGTTTCAGTGTTTTCAATGTATATTGGGGAAGGCGTAGGTAAGTTAAATAACTTGTTTCCAATACCAAGGATTACAATGTATCTATATTATACGTTATTGTTAATACATGTTCATTGTGAGCTGTAGACAATAGCTAATCAAAGACAGAATGTGTCTGGTATCCGCAGTGTTCACGACTCTATCTTGACACTGAACCTATGGACAGGTGAGACAAGTTGTTTCGAGATGATGTCCTGGTGGAACCGGTATCGTATGTTTCGACTTTTCAATTAGTTGGGAAATTTTGTGATGTCATATCCAAGAGGTTTGTAGAGGAGACTGAACGTTGGCCAAGAAATATTTGTAGTAAATGGGCGACGGAGTCAGAATTGATGGATGTTTAAATTGTTGTTGTTCAAATGTCCTGTGACATTCATTTAACTTGTGGCTCGTGAGCAATTTACTGCTGTTCGGTCAGACGTAGAATTCAGACAAATGTTGCACTGATCCAATCATGTTGACACAGGAACGATTATCATCTATGTATTGCGATAAAATGTTTCATCGTCTCATTATAGCATTTATGGTTTTAATAAAAATTACACATCACAGTATTCATTCTTTACACAAATATCCCATAACTGTTTCTTTACAAAGATCTTTCTTTCTTTACAAGTAGCCTTGTTTCTTTACAAGTATCCCTGTTTCTTTACAAATATCCCTGTTTCTTTACAAGTAGCCTTGTTTCTTTACAAGTATCCCAGTTTCTTTACAAGTGTCCTTGTTTTTTCACAAGTATCTATGTTTCTTTACAAATATCCCTGTTTCTTTACAAGTAGCCTTGTTTCTTTGTGTCCCTGTCTCCTTTCTTATAATTTTGTTTCTTTGCAATTATCCTTGTTTGTTTTACCTATAATGAGACAATAATCATATTCACTTACTATCCAACCTGAACTTTCTTAATTCTAGCACTGGGTACTTGCTGTTTGTAGCAGTTCAGATGATCTTTTCAAAATACAATTTGTTTTTTTCCGTTATTGCAGGGGTGTATCATTTGATTTGATTAATCTCTGATGATTATATACTTGCTTCTTACGAGAAATGTTTTGCGTAAAAGAATTTTTCTCAAAACTTTTAAAAACAGGAGATTGGACACTAAAACACTACACTGTTGTGCAAATTCTAGATGAACAGGAGTTCCAGGAGAATAAGACCTTCTGTCTTTATCTACGACACACCACATAAACCTTGGGTCAATCCATGTAAGTTAGGTCAACCTATACAAAAATGAAACCTGCAGGCAAATTAATGAGCATCAAACAGGATTGTTTAGTTTACAAACGTTTTGGAAAGATGTGGAAATATTAGTCATACTGCAGGGATCTTCCATTTGTTTTTTTGCTTCGTTCAACGTAATAACAATCTTCAAATAAAAACACTACAACATATTTACACAACAAAATAACATTTTCCTTTTATTTCATCAATAACAGGTGATGTCACGTGATTATCGCACGTGCACAATAGATTTTAATATATACAGTGTACATAGACGCATACACACACATACTACATACACACGTTCTCCTATGACACAAAAGACATCTTCACAGCTGCTACCAATAACTTTGAATCTATAAATTACAAATAGATCTAAACGCATTCATATATATTTGCATAGACCCTTTCATTCACCCTGAAACGAGCACTCCGGCCTGGATAGCACCAGACTGACTCTCTCACACTGACTAGATGTGTCTATCATAATGGGCTGTGTATCTACGCAAGTCAATTACTGTCAAGTAGCAACTGTTGTCTTCAAATTCAACATTCGAAATTGAAACAATAATAATGATAAAATTAAGGCCTCTTAAACAAAGTTGGTAGCATCCAATTTAAAATCAAACATAAAAATAGTCAATTTGATTATTTTTTAAGCAATAAGAATACTTCTGCATTACATGTAATTTTGATAACAATAAAAAAAAAAAAAAATTAACAAAGCAACTTTTATTGGAAGTCACATCCAGAAGGTTTCATTTTAGCACAAAAGAATCGAGAAAAAAAAATGTCTGGATAAATTTGAAAAAAGGAATACTTTTTGAAAAAGTTCTTAAGTATTAGACGTTGAGGTAGAAATGCATTAAAGAAAACAAATACTGACAGCCAAAGGTGTCTGTCACTTCAAATGAAATGGGAAATCATATTGGCTACTCAAGTTTTTTCGCACCATGTCTGCACCAGTAACTTAAAAACATGAGTACATTCAATTTTTGCTCCTTTTCTTGTAGAAGAATTAACTAAATTGTTATGAAATTTTCCAATCTAGGTCTCAAATTCATGATGTTTTACAACTTTATTGAAAAACAAAATTTTTTCCCACCTTTTTTTTGCTAAATTTGATTGAAAAAAAATTCAACAAACTCATTATTACAAAGGAAAATCAATGAATCAAACATTTTTCATTTCTTTTTAAAATTGAAAACAGTGCCTAATTCTCACATCTACTCATTGTCATGTGTGAAATGTTAAAATGATAATGATGATCACAAACACACACTCAAACACAGGTGGTAGCAAGATATGCGACTACCTGTAAATAAATAGCAAAACACAAATATAGGCAACAGACTAGAAGATCTTCAATAAGTTTGTCCCCTAAATCTCAATTACCCTAAGGTTTAAATAAGTTGTACAATACTGATTCATTTCTTCCGAACCATTTCTAGCCCATCTCTGAACTAAATGGTTTATTTTTTGTTTACATGGTCAAGATATCAATGAATGATTAAATGTTTTCATAATATTAAATAATTCAATTACCTTTAATCCCAACGAAAGTAACTGTTCTACAAATAGTGTCCATTTAGTTTTTTTTATATATGTGAAATGATATAGACATCTTTCTGAGTTCAGAGCCATAATCAATAATTATTTCTTTAAATTGAATTGCAGAATTCGTTAATGATTATTTTTGTTCCAAATTGAACAAAACTCTGTAATTAAGATAAGATGTGGCTAGTTTTTCCTTATAAAACTTTGAGAAATGACCAACACAAAAGTTTCAACATCAAATGAGATATACATTTCTATATAGTTCCTCAACTAAATGAATAAAATAAAGCATATCTTCAACTTAAATATTATTGAATCTATCTTCCTGATGGCAACAAACACCACATATTGATAAAATTTCCAATATTTCAGAAATACATTATCTTGATACAACAGAATATAAACACACAATCGTACAATACAAATGTAAAAATCTTATGTACAGATATACTTGTGTATTGGTGATACTTCTTAAGTTCTATCATAAAAGGTGTATAGTGTATAATATATCTCACAAGAGTAGATAACAAGCTCATAAATACACTGCCCCAATGTACAGCCTCATCAGCTGGACAGATGGGTCGATAACATAAATACACAGGCCCAATGTACAGCCTCATCAGCTGTACAGATGGGTCGATAACATAAATACACAGGCCCCATGTACAGCTTAATCAGCTGGACAGAAGAGGCAATAACATAAATACACTGGCCCCGTGTACAGCTTCATCGGCTGGACAGAAGGGGCAATAACAAAAAAAAAAAAAAAAATGAAATAAAAAAAAAAAATAAATAATTGACAATTACAATATTCAAAATGTTGTTTCACTTTATATTCATGGCCTAAAAAAATCACACTTATATTTAAGGGTATCATGCCTCTGCAATACCGATTACTGGCATCATCACTGATATGAAATGTTTGTTGGTTTTATCATATGGTGTCATTTTGAAGCGATGTCTCTGAAGTAGCTGGTTGCTACCTCACTGAACAACATACAGGAGGCCAAATTTGAATGTCATTCTGAGAAATTTTTGAAAAGTGTCTGTCCTAATGGCAACTTGGGTAAGGAGTGATATGAAATATTTCGACACACTATTTTAAGCCACTAACTTAACAGAATCACACCAGTTCAAAATTTGAAATTTGGGGAAAATATGTTGTGACCTTGAAAAGACCTTGGTGTGAAGAGAAAAGCAACAAGCTGCATGCCAAACCTATACTATACAAATACTGAATAAGTCTCTCTCACAGGATTGATCAATTTCATTACTTGTCAAGACATGGGAGACAACTCCAAGATTGAGTACAATGACGATGTAATGTTACCCTTTATATTAGCATAAAACTGGGAGTTTTTTTCACACTGGAAAGATCAAAACCCTGTCATATCTAAGTACAAAACTACCGCCTTCAATAAAGACCTACATGTATATAACACACATCTAACAATATAAGACACGATAAAGTAGGCCAATATTGAATTTCTCAAAATTCTGTGTAATGATGGTTGCCTTCTACTGGCACATGAAAGGCTTGAACTTTCAATATATGGAAAAAAATTGATCAAAACTTGAATTTGAACATCTAATTTTTTTAAAAGGTTCCGTAAAGTAAAAATTTCTCAATTTCAATGGGTTTCTTGTTAATTTTGTGCTGTCAGCAAACCATCAAATATGCTTTATTTTACTTTTGTAACACACATTATTTCTCTAAAAGAATTTGACAGGAAATTATGTTGGATTGTCAAAGCATCCATTGTTCGGGAGAGAATAATGAATCTATCTCAGTAACATTTTTACACTATAATACATAGAATTTAACAGAATCTCAAAGTCTCAGAACACATCAATGCTGTTGCCTTCTATCAACAAATTTGTAGAAATTAAATGTCATATTTTATATATATAAAATACATGATATGATAACAAGTACAATAGATAAAGGAAGAGAACAATTCCTTGTCTTCCTTCCCTCCTTGTAATTTATTTATATCTATATATCTACTTATCCTTTGGCGTCTTTGATCACTATATTGTGATACAAACAAGTCATGTGGTTATTTGTATTGTCTTTGAAAAATTGAAAATCATGTTTTGGGATTAAAGATGACTTTTTGGCAAAAAAATGGAAAACCAGAAATAATAAAAAAAAATGTTCCTTTTTAAAAAAAAAAAAATTTTTCAAATGTACAAAAACAGGTACTGCATTATAACTGGATTCTAATGATGACATTACCACCAACTTTGTTTCTATTATACATTTCATATAGATATGCCTGTACACTGTATGCATGGATAAAGATAACGAAACATGCTGAATAATGGGTTATAATGCTGACCAACATTTCACACATGTAAAATGTACAAAAGGTGTATAATTTGGCAAAAAGCAAATTTCTTTCCAATTCAAAAATACAACATGAAATGTCCATCTAATTCCTTTTGAAAATGACAGCACTCATTGTATCAAAATGAATACAAAATTGAAACTTTTTAAAAAGTCTATTTCAAAGTATTTCCATTTCGATCAAAAAGTCTCAATTTCAATACCACAATACCATATTTAATGCCTCTTCAAGAGAAATTTCCCTTTGGCTTAACAAAAAAATTTGATCAGTAAATTTTTTTTAATACAGAATACCATTTTTTAATGCTGTTCACTGTCAGTCTTTGGTAATAATCATTCCAGTAAAAATTTATTATTGTAAAAACAACAACAAATAATTCAACAAAAAGTCTGTGCCGAGCCTACAAACAGAGGGTTAAAACATTTGAAATTTTCATTGAACAGTTTTTGATAAAACTAAAATATCTGAAATTTTGAGTTCTTGTTTGCTTTGCATTTTGTTTCCTGACATTTGTTGATAAAACAACAACCCCAAATTAATGTTTATGATAAATGTGCTTGAACCAAAATATTGAATATTTGATTTTTTTTTTTAAATGACCTTCATGAAATTTATTCATTATGACAAAAATATCATACTGTAATGCAGTTGTATATTTATTCATTTGGGAATTAATGCTGTCCAGACAACTTACATAACAACATTTGATACAAAAAAATTCAAATTCTTCCAAGAATTTGTACAAAAGTCACAAGTGTCATATCCACTATCTTTGATGAAAATAAGAACTCAAAAATCCCATTTATTCTTGAATAAGTACACAAATTAAAAAACGAAAAATTCTGTCTAAAATTTTGGCAGATAGATTAAGCACAAGTCATCATAAAGGTAATTATTCAGCTCCCAGTAGGTCAAGAGAACACAGACCTAATGCTCATATGTAAATAATGCTAAATGTAAATTTACTACATTAAGGAAATGTCATTAAGATACACAACTGCTTAACAATACAAAATTAAACATGAACAATATTGAATGAATATAAGCTTAAGGTATATGCTACCTTATACCTGTGATTTGTGTTAAGAGTTATCTCCCATAGGATATATTTTATTGGCATTTACCTTGTGTTGGATCACCATTGACAACTTTATGTCTTTGTTTATTAAAGACTCTCTTAATGAACATGATCCTTCAGGTAGATGGGTAGAACTCTTTTGTGAAGGTAAACAATTACAATTTAGGTAGCATATGCACTTAAACGAAAAATGAGGTCATTATGATGTACAATCACACAATCTATGCTTGATAAATGTTATATGAATAATATCAGCCTCACATACAAATTCTTTCTCATTCATCTAATGTTTATGATTATGCTCAATCCTTTTTTCAACAGTAAAAGAGTTTTAACCGATAATCTTCAGCCATTTAAAATATCTTCTAAGGTTCATAGGTGATAATTCTCAATTTATACTAAAAAATTATACATGAATAACAATCGTTTTAATTTCAACTGCCGTGTGACCTTGGACTTTTTTCAAAATTCTAAATATTGTTTTTTGAATCGTTAAGTGTGTGGAACCTGAAAACTTTCAATGAAGCATTCTGTTTTAAGGAGTTGGGAATATTCGGTATTTGTGGAATTTATGGTGGAATTTGGAAAGAGCAAATTCAAAATGACTCAACATAATTGTTCTATAGATTAAAAGATAATTTGCATCATACACATCTTTACACAAAATAGAATTCAAATGCTGTTAAAGTCTTTTCAGGTCCATATTTTTACGTATTCAAATAAGAATTTAAAATTGGAAAATATTTTCAAAATGTGATTTGGAATTCTTAAAGTGCCTCTAGTACACAAAGTTCCACTAAAATTCTCTCTCATCAGGATGTTAGAGAAGCTACTATTGGATGGATGGACGGACATACAGACAAGATAACACTATACCATTATAAATGAAATTTCCATATTTCAAAACCAATTTGTGCCAGGGCATACGCTTGTCAGTTCATCAAAACAAGTAAATTATGGTCACATTCTCAACATGAAAACTTTAAAAGCATGAATTGATTGCATGTGTTTTCTAACTACTGACTCACTATAGGTAAAAAGCAGTACTTATTTCAAGTTATTTCTAATCTATATGTTTGTTAAACCAAGTGAACATATTGAATAGCTTGAATCCTTTTTGATTTTTTCAGATAAAATAATTTCACACACTCTAAACTACTACTGTAGTATTTATCGGATGTCTGGATTAAATTTTATCTGAAATATCTGTTTTGAATACATACATATGCCATTTTTTCACAGACCATTTTGGTATACATAAGTCAGTGATGTTTCTGAAAATCTCTGCGAATAAGCCATAGTATATCCTCAAGACAATGATTGATGTAAATTAAAGATATTAAAGAATGGTTTTAAATTCTTGTATACAATTTCTTCATACATAATATTGCAAACATCTAATTGTGCTAAATTTGATATTTTCCATTCTTGTTGTTTCTGACTTTTGAGTATTTTCTTTACTCAAACCTGAAGAAGTCCCTGACAGCTGTCAGCAGGCTCTTTAATCATCTTATCACAGTGAACATCTACCATCTGGACATCACACATGGTACCATCTCCATATCAGATTATGTGGTAGCTTGTCTGCTGTAGAAACACATGTTTTGATGCTTCGGGTAAATCACAGATTTCTTTGTATGGCTAAAAGCCATGGACAGCTCCCACAACGCACACTGACCTTGGGTGAGGTCAAATCAAGTTGATTGGTGCGATGACGAATCATTTTGCTGGTGCGCACTTTACCACAGCAGTATATGCATTCTTTGAGCAGACGTCAAACGAATGCACGATGATTATCTTGGACCATGTGATACATCTAATGATCCAATCGAAAGAGTCTCTGAGATTCTGATTATAACTGGTCCGATGTTATACCGAGTGCAGCCATGTATATAGTGTATAAAGTAAAAGTCCTGTGTTCACTACTAGAGAAGGTGTAGATAGAGGGGTAGCTGTTGACTGAAGACTAGCTACCCCTGGGGTATGTATGGAGGCTACAAGCAACGGACTCAATGTCAGATATGACTTCATTAATGGACTGTCAGATTGTATTAGGTAGCCTAATCTTTCCGCCTCCTTTGAACATGCACGAACCTGAAACACAGAAAACAAACTTGAAAAAGATGAAACAAACAATATGTATTTTTCGTCATACAATTTGAATACAATTACATTTTTGTATTTCATACATTACATAGACCAATATACGTCTACAAAGTATAATATCTATGGGAGAATAACAATAAAATTTTAATTACACACTTCTAATTTTACTACTAAGACGCAAATTATGGCCCACAAAGTATTACACTTCAGGTGAAAATGATGTAAAATATCCTATACATGTACTTCATGATGTGGCAAGGAGAAAGCTATTGGCAACAAGAGTATCAGTGACACCGATGAAGGCTCCCTGAAAACAATTTTATTTACCACAAAATTAAAACAAAGGGCAATAATTCTGTAATTTATAAGTTGCAGGCCCTGAACTTGGTATACTGCACTTTCTGTTAGTATGACCAATACTAAGGGTAACTCCGAAATTATGCAAAAGAGAGTTATGACACTTGTACACTGCATTTATCCTTATTGAGATCTATCTACCTATCAAGATTTATGCTGATATCTCTTATAGTTTTTGTGATGTACTGCAGACAAGATTACGACAGATGGACAAAGCAACTTTAAAATTACAAGCTGGGAATATAATTTGGAAGGAATTGAATTTTAAATTGTACAATGTAGGAAAACACTGAGTTGGAAACCTGCATATTTCACAACTGATTTTCACAATGATGTACTAAACTCCACATAAGGGAGATAACTCCAACTGCCTTGAGAATTTAATAAATGTGTTGTGACTGACTGAACTTCCATGCTAGTTGGTTTAAATGATCATTTTCTTTGTCTTTAATGCAGGAATAATTCACTATCTCTAATCCTTTAAAAAGATAACTGCAATAATGAATTTTGAATGTCATGAATATCCGTATATATCAATATATGTAATTGTCTGAAAGTTGTTCCATTCATTGGTGATCGACATTGAGTATGTTTAATTGGTTTCATACACCACTTACCAGCAGCATGGATGGTTGTGCTGAGACGGGAGCCACCAGGATAACAATGTCATTTTCTACACTAAGGTAGCCATATAAGTCACACTGAACCACTGACAATTGACGCGACAGAATTAGCAAGATGTCTGCCAATGTTATCACAGCACTGTTCATGGCAGATGCTGCCACATTCAGAAGTTCCTCACTGTACACAATGCGGATCTCCGCAGCTTTGAAAACAAAAACACAAATTTTCAATATGAGGTGCATGTTAAATTCAACGTTTTTGATTTAATCTATTTATCATCTAGTTCATAAGAGTTCTGTAATGGTAAACAACATTCCGTACTAACAAAAACCTGAAAAACACCAATATTGGAAAATCTGCATCCAATTTTTCTGTTACTTTTAAAAATGATTATGCATAGAAATTTTAGCAGGTGCAAAAAAACACAAAAATGAAACCCATGACATTAAATTGAATCCAACAGCATATCTATTGGTTGATGCAAGGCCTCTAAGTTTCTGTACTCAGTACAATACTGAAGCTAGTATGGTAAAAAATAGATGAATGATGAATGGATTTAGGGAAAGTAGTCACCCATATGAATCCAAACTTTATTCTTCCTTATCCCAATTTCTAGCTCAAAACAACTTGCTGACCAATATTTAGGTACATTTTCTAGAACATTTTTTTTCTTTTTCACAGACAATTGTATTTCAAACTAAATGAGGTCTGTAATCACTGGGGATCAGGTTATTGAAAAGGTTGAGACATATCAAAATCTTTAATTTCAGATTTCATCTGCAATGACAGTTTAAGATGAAATCATCACAATGGAACCATGATTGGATGAAAAGTGATGTGAAGTTCAAAGACCTTACTCCCTGTTTTCTAATAATAGTCCTATAGTTTACTTACCACAGACTGGACAGCAGCCCCCAGGTGGAGTAATGGGACGGCACTGCTTTGGCTTCACGGCACGACAGACCACATTTGCACAATTATTAGTTGTGGTCAAATTCCCTACAACAATTAGGAAGAGCAACCATGTAGAATATTGAAATAGTAAAACTAGGGTTATTAATAGAGTAAACATCATGCTGTCTCCTACCCCTTCTACACCCAGGAATAAACATCCCCCTACCAATCCCCACACATATTTTATACTTTTTATGTGACGGTTACCCCGTGCCTGTTAATAAGCCTACCATTATCTAATACAGTTTCTATAAAAATACCAATGAATGCAACTTCATTGTCTTGTTATAAAACCCTTCTATAAATCAGAGCTGATGTGTTGGTCCCTGGGCTTATTACAGAACAAACATGATGGAATCATCCCTACAGATAAAACATAAACCAAAATCTTTGTTTACCATATCAACCATCACTCTTCATATCGGAGCCAAGTTTAAATCATAACTTTAGAGGACAAATGTGAAATGTTTCTGATTGCAGGATCTGATGTTCGTGTTAAATCTGTAGACTGAATATTTTACAAGTGTTACTCTTCTTTCTGTTCCAATTACCCACCAAGCTAACCTTAGGGCTATTCCAGTAAAGCATCTATCTGACTCCAGGACTCCAAAATAAATCAATTCTACCAATCAAACAAACCTGGAGTCCTGGGGTGGGATATATTTGTTTATCGGAATTAACCCATACAAATACTTCCAATCAGGATATAATACAAAACTATAGCCAGGTTCTCGCATACAAATCCCCTCTTTATGGATTCTTTCTTCAATATAGCTGTGTTGTAAAGCTACCTTACCTGAGTACATGCCAACAGCCCTACACTGTCCCAAATAATCTACAGTGGTACGGTCAGCCAGGGCTGCACATTCACTGTTGTAAGACTCCCCGTTATGGCCACACACCACACCGTTGTCAGAACAGTATTTCTGCAACAATGGAAACAGTAATATTGCATTAAACAACCCTAAACAATGATCACACTGCTATGTATACAGTTATTTTACAATTCTAGCAAAAAGTTAAAATCTTTGCAATATTGTCTTTAGAGGTTAAAATTTTTTTACCATACAAAGTCATCAAAATATCAGAACCACTTTTCCCTTACTCATGACAAGACAATCCATGCTTTTTACCGACTATGAGATTTCCTTGTCTCACCCTAGGGATGAGACGGGGTTTCTCATTGGCCTACACCGGGGACACGAAGCACTGGGGCAACAATAACACATACAAATATCTAAACAAGTCAACAGGGTAAGAGAAAATCAATCATTCATCCCCTTGTTGGTGAGATTTGGTGATTTCAATCCTTGGGAGAAAATGTTTAAGTTGCAAACAATTGATAAGCCTCATGAGATCCACAGATCTCACCTCCATTGGGTGAAAGATTCTATTAATCTCATAGACCAGCCACTTTTTAAAGCTGGAAGGCTGCAAAGAAGGTTTAAGTAATGACACCTCTTTCCATGTTACCTTATTTGGTAAAATATGAATCAAAATCACTTGGTTTTATACTTGATATTCTATATAGAACATTGTAGTACAATGAAAACTAATGTATAGCTGTAACCCAGTGGTAAAAAACACAACATACTGTTTTACTAGAAAAAATTTCTCTTTGGCCCAATCGCTCGAGCGTTAGACTAGCACAGAGGTGGTTCTGAATTCAATCCCAGTTAGAGACATCAGAATAAATAATGACCTCTACTACAAAGATTTTAGTAAATATCATTATCAGACATGCCATCACATCCTGTCAGAATCCAGTATACTTACCTGACAGTGTCCCCTATAAGCAAGCCTCTTTTTCTTGGCCAGGAGGAGACAAATGTTAGTGTATTCATCATTATCTGTATCACACACAGGTTCATGATCATGGCGTTCACACTGATCAATGCCCATTACTGCCACTACAACACAAAAGAAAGCTCAGCTAATGCCCTCCTCTATATGGAGTGGTATTTTCTTTTCTCTAGAGCAATTAAACAAGTAATCTTGCTAGAATTGATAAAATGGACAGAATATGCTTCAAAATATCCATTTACCTACTAAAACATACATATATCTTAGCAGTAAATGGTGATAATTTTCAAAGCTTTCACACTGAAAGTAATGTGATAAATATGATTGTACTAATTTTCTGGATGTTGTTTACATGGAAATCATTGTGTATGCATCAATCCATCACTATGTTAATTTATTAAAATGTGATAATCCAATAAACTCGGATTGTGCCGAATATCTATAATTGCTTTTAAAAATTGCAAAACATAACTGGTCTTGATCAGTCAGGTCTTTCCTGTCAAGTAGAAACACCAAACTTTAAAGATTATATAGGCAATAACATACCAGGTTCTTAAATACCATCTGATTTGTTACAGACAAGATGAACACAGAAATATACATACCACATTCATACTGGTAACAGGTGTTATCCATGGCATTGCTTAAACACACACTTCGTTTTGACATACACCTGAAACAGAACATTGTCAATCAATCAAACATGTATTCATTTTATGGCATTATACATTGAGTAAGACAAATGAATTCTGGGGTATTTACCCGACAGACTTTGCTCTATCCTAATATACAACATAATCTCTCCTGTATACTGATACATTTATATATCCTTGTACGTAACCTAATCCCTCTTGTACATTAATACATCTTGTGATTCATGAACCATTTTGCCTATTGCACAAGAACCCGAAGATCATCACTTTTTATCAGAAAACTTTCAGTACCAGTTCCTTCCTATGCTGATACTATATATTGTGAAGGGTTTTTTCTGCAAACATAATCCAATGTATGTACAGTAATTAGTGATGGCCAAACTTATGTAGTACCAAATCATACAACTATGTTACCCAAAATATCCAAACTTCTAAGACTGTATCAGTGTCATTCCACTAAAAGATAACTAAACACACAAACAAATGTTTGAAATTTGATAATTTAAATAAAAGATTCTTTAACTTCCTGGATTTTACCTGTATTCATCCCCACAAGGATTGTCTGCACAAGGGTCAACAGTCGAGCAAGTCCCTGGAATGAGTTCATGACTTCGTAGTTTTGCACACCTTGAAAACAAAGTTCATAATATATAAGTATACATTCAAATTCTCAAAGTAAACATACTGCAGAAAAAAAATTTCTCTAGGTAACCAATTTTAATTGAACCTTTTCAGTGCATATTATGAAAGTCCAGACTTTTCACTAAAGTGATCTTTTCCTTTGGAGAATTACACAGTTAATGATAGGAGAGATGTTCTGCAAACCAAATATCCAAGCATCACAAATCAAAATGTATATGGCCACGCAAACAGAAAAAGATATAGGGATGCTCAGTAGTAAAAATATTCCATGACATTTTTTCACAGTGATTCATGGCAGCATTTAGTAAACACTGGAATGATAGGTGACGGCAAGAAGATAGCTAATACTAACTTCTGAGCCATGCATCTGTTCGGATAAGTCTTTCCATTAATTCCACACTGTGGAGCAAAGCTTGGAGTACAGTCACATGGTAACCCTGTCAATCCTTCAGAGCCTGGCTCTAGGGGACAGCGATGCTGGGTACACAGGAGCTGACCAGAGTTACAGATGCAGTGATTACAGTCAATTTTGAAGTGTTCCCCATGCTCTGAAATTGGAACGGGTCGAATATTATAGCCACAAAACTCAGTGCATGTAATGGAACATCTGATGTATGTCTCAAGTAGAATTCTTATTGTAAGACATCCATACAAACCAAAGTGTCAAAAATGAGGTATATCTGAACACCAACTACCCTACGCAGCTCTAACCAGTGTAAACATTTCAAGATAACCACAACACAATGAAAATAAAAAAAAAAACACAGCAAAAGAATTTAATTGTGACACTAATCCCCTATCTGACCCCTTCACCATTGTTTTGATATATGATGACATGGCATTTTAATCAGAGAAGTTGAGAAACCTAAAGCAATCATAAAAACATACTCTTGGACACCTTCCTAAGGGAGACAACTTATTTTTTATAGCATTGCTGATGCTACAAAGATTTCTTAAAAGTAAAACTTAATTCTGGTATCTGTGCTGTTGTTACAAGAATACTTCTTGAAACAGGGGAGACAACTTAGTTCTGGTGTCTGTGCTGGTGTTACAAGAATACTTCTTGAAACAGGGGAGACAACTTACTTTTGGTACCTTTACTGGTGCTACAAGAATCCCTCTTGATACAGGGTAGACGTTTACAATTATCCAGGTTGTTATGGTGTCTACATTGACACATACGATAGTGCATACACTGTCCATCACTATGGAAATCCTTCTCTGCATCAGGAATCCGGACATAAGTGTTCTTAGGAACATACATGTTGGTAACTGCTCCCATTCCACAAGCTGAAAAAGTGCATTACAACAAAATTACATAAGTGATCATCCACATCTCAACCAAATATGTATCATAAATTGATCCATTTGTTTACTTTCTTTGTGGTGGGGTGAAATTAAGTTGTACAGTAAAATTGTTAGTGGTAACAGACAAACTACATCTGTGTTGGCTTATATGGAGTGATTCACTTTGATCAGCATAAAGAAACAGATTGCGGGAGGCCCACTTCTGTGTCGACTGATGTAAGTGACCATAAGTTTTATATATTTGGTATAACTTACCACTATGGCAGACATAGGGCAGACAGACCTCAGGGTGCCTACATTTACGTCGGTTGATCCAGCAAACCTGGTTGTCATTACAAGGGTTAGGGTTACATGGACTGGTGATAAGATGTCCATAGTGTTTATGAGGACTCTCAGCTATTTAAAGCAACACAAAACATAATTGAAAAACAACAGTATCAACATGCTTAAAGAAAGGCTGATATCATTCATACCACTTATAGCTGAAATAATCTTTTTGTACAAAAAGATATCCAGTCCAACATAACTACAATATACTATAGCCAAAAAGTCAAATATGCTAGCTCACCTGTGACAAGTAGATTTCAGTTTCTTTTAAACCAAATTCAGAAGAAAACAATGGTACAAACTTTAGAAAGATGAGTTTTAAGTAAATGAAATGTAATTCATTTTTTTAGTTTCTAAAATTCCTCATTATTTCTAGTCAGAATTTGTTTGCTTGAACTTGAATTTGCAAACTAAAAACATACAACATCCTGAAGAGATTGGGTGACTTTTGTTTTTTTAAAACAGATACAATTTTGAAAAAAGATTATGACAAAATTTTGTTTACAAAAATGAAGTCGACATAGATTTAACATTTTGAGATTGATTGCGATATAAATGAAATTGAAGCTGAAAGCTCCGTCACAAAATCTCACACTTGTAACAATCAAATAACACAGCTGTGTGAAGAATGAGAGTTGTGGAGATACAAATTACTTACTCAGATACTTCTTGACGGAGATACAAGCACCATGTTTAGAATCTCCAGGGGACAAAGTGTTACACAAAAGCTGCAAGGTGTGGCCTGGCTTCATACGACTGTGATCTACACACTGGTTCAGGATGTGGAAACAGTCTTCCCTAGAATATTCAAAAAACGTCAGTCAATCTCCAAAACCAATATTATGTAAATTCTACAACTTTAGCTTTGCCGTTTTTAATGAAGGCATATTCTTTAAACCAGAGACATTATTGTATGAAATATATGAGAAGGTTAGAGGTCACTGCTGAAGCATGTAGGTTTTTCCCTAGGTAATGTGGTCTCCATCCAGAGTAAGACCAAAAATGGGCTTCTATCAAGGTCATCAGGTGATTAATATAAGTTTAGATAACATACAACCAATAATTGTAATATAAATAAAGGTAGAAGCACTTGAAAACTACCATTATGATGAACATACACCATTGTCTCCCAGCAGTTAGAATGGATGTAAAAAAATATTTCATTGGTTGAGAAAGTATCTAGAAATACCAATAAGCAAGTCTATATTCTGTATAAACATCCATAGATCCATCCATGAACATTACCTGTGTTTGTAAGTTTTTTTTTAATGTCGTCTCATCTTTATTTTTCTTAGAAGATAAAAGATCAGTTATAAGTACAGAATAAACATGTAAGTATAAAAGTAAATTATCTGGTAGTCTGTTGATACAGAACAGTCCTGATGAGGACCCTTATAAGGGTATATGTATTACCTGCATAGGGGCAATGGAGTGGCTCTTCTATTGCATGGCTTAATCTGCAGGGCACAAACAAGAGCCTTCCACATCTCTGGTTCACACTCCCGAATATCTAACACAAACAAAGGCAGCATTTAACTGTCAACATTTCAGTGACTATATTTCTAAAGGCAAGACTCGCAGAGAATCATGTTCCCCTAACATTAAAGCTTCCTTGTTTTTTCCTACAATTTTTTGTTTGTTTGTGCTTCGATAAATAAATAAATAAAATAACTTTAAGATCATTCAGTAACTGGGAATCTACTTCAAATTTCCACATTTAAAAAGGTTTTTAAGATTATTTCACTTCGTTCAGCTGCTTTTTAACTGTATCCTGGAACTGTAATTCTTTTTTTGAAAATATATTGGTCTGTCAACTGCTGAGGAAAGGATATTTAGATTCTAAACTGTAAGAAATGTTTTATTTGATAAGTTCCAGGAGAAAATCTAGAGAGGGTTTGATACGTTCCAGACAAAGACAAAATCTGGAGGAGGATATATCTATGTTGATGAAGGGAGGTACAAGATATTAATATTTATCAGGAAAATACCCATAAATTGCACATTTTTCCATGTTTTTTCCTGCCGTTGTTATCATCAAAAATGAACAAATCAAGATATTAGTTATAATCATATAACAAAAACTTACGAAAAATAAAATAATGTTTCATGATAAAGTTTTTAGATTTGCTTGAAAGAAATGTTTGTAAACCTTGCAAAAAATTCTTAGAGTACAAATCATGCCAAAGTTTAATGTACACAATCTGTAAAAAAGAATGATTAATCACTACGATCTGAGATAAATGACCTGAATCTAAGATTAATCACATGGATCTAAGATGCTATTTCACTATGGCGTGAGTACTGTCCATCATAGCAAATATCTATTCTCACCTTTGACAGGAATGGACATCTGAGGAAGCCTAATGGTGCCATTCTGCCAGCTGGTTAAACTCTCCCTGGCAGCTATATCTGTCTGAGCATTACAACTCCGAAACAGCTCTGTTGGTCTATTGTTGAAGTTGGAGCAAAAACTGAGACCGTCACACCCAAGCTGGCAAGGTTCTTCCACTGTAAAAAGTGATAGAGCAGTATTAAAAGATAACCACAGTGATAGCATCGAAGGTCCTACTGACTGAATTAAACCCAACCAAATATCCAAATTAATGGCTAGAAAAAGTCAGTAGATACTGTATAATTTTAAGGTAATACTTTCTTCATATCTCATCTCAAAAACTTCACGAGTTTTCACATTGCAAAAGAATCCAGTGTTTAACTATGGCTAAATATCATAAGCTTTAAGTTTATAACAAAACCGTTCGCTATTCGCAACAACTCAATATTGAATTTCAAGTCGTTTCTTGGGATTGTGAAAACAGGTTTGAGTTTGATGAGGCTTGAAAATATAATCATGGCACTTCCGTCTTTCTGTCAGTGACATACAGCAGAATTTCACCTTCGTACCACCTCATTGGGATAATCATTATCACACAGTCCCAATCATTGAAATGAACTGACCTTCTGCCATACAAGACAGCATGGGACCTTCCATTATGACGTCCAATACAGGAGCTGCTAGACTTTGGCATTTAGTGTTAAAATCATCCCAGGTGTTTGCCCAATCTGTGCTGAATGTCTGAAATGGAAATATATTGCATCATAGCACAAATTTTTTTGGGGAAAGAATCTGATACTGCTATTGCTTCAATTCTGAAAATATTTCATTTTTTTTTCATTTATGGGCCAATATCAATTTTATTACTCCAGAACAACACAAATTGAAAGTATATATGAGAAATACACAATATTTTTTTTTTTTTTTTTTTGTATTAATCCTGCAATAATTTGTTACTTACCCTTGAACAAAGATTCCGACAGGCAAGGGTGTTAGCTTTAGTACAGCATTGAAGCCTGGCACCATCTATAATGTTTCTCTCCATATCTATGTCCCCCTCAATGTTGGTGTTAAGCAAGAAGCATGCCCACAACGGATCCTAAACAAAGTGATTAATATAAATAACATGTCATTCCTCAGTTCCCGGGAGAGGGGGATGTTAATTCCTTTTTTCTCCTCATTTAAACATCGGAGACAGTAAACTATATTTTTATTCTATCTAAAGTTCAAATGAGTGCAGTATTATATGAAACACTAATCACTAACACATATAAAAGTGGCCCTTCTGCATGCCTAATCATCTATATATAGAAACTGTGACCTTGACCATAGAATGTTTCTTCATATCTACGTGAACACTACGTGAAATTTCAGACATTTTTAGTTTTAATTCTGAGACGTACATGTATTTTGGGACATCATGATTACTGATAAGGTATTTCTGGAACAGAACTCTTTCCTTTTCTAATCCTACCTAAAATATTATAATAAAGGTAAACTTCAAATTTTGAAGAAAAAAAAAAGAGGAAAAAAAAAATGTGCACACATCAAAATATGACCTGAATGATTTAAGTCTAATGATAAAATCTAATGATAAGATTCAATTTAATTCAATGAGATATATGTATAGCGTATTTGTTACATATGTGTCTAAAACTAAAAATAGAACAAACAAAAAATTTTAAAATATTAAAAGAAATCTCTCAAAAAATTATTAATTAATTGTTCACAATGGTATTAAGATTTTTAACTTCTAAAGTATCATTATTATCTTCATTTTCCATCAGGTCATTTGGAGGAAAACAAGTTCGGACATTTCTGATTTGTTTAATAAGATCTCAATTCTTTTGAAAAAGAAAAAAATATTTCTAATTATGTTGAAAACTTACACTATGTATTTTTGGAACACCACACTTTTTCACTAGCTGTTCCATGAACATGTTCTCTGGATACCGTAACTGTATTCCCTTAATACATGTGTTCCTGCATTCAGAATCTGCTGGGGCTTCATAGCAACATGGCAAGCCTGCAAACAATAGTAGTTTAAGATTGATATCATTTCTTACAAACAATTTGTTCCATGTGTAATAGTAAAAAGAAGAACAACACTTATTCGCTGCTTGATGCAAATTTCAGTCTGAATATTTCTATGAACACCTAGTCTTGCAATTTTGGTAAGCTTTTAGTATAAAACTTTATTGTTTCATAGCGACAGTATGCATGCATGACACTGTTTTGAAAGATGGCAGCATTATTTTAAGCATACGACTGTTTCCATGTGTCACTTATAATCCGTTGGAATATTTTCAGCAATCAGAAAGCTAGGATTGTTAGTAACCGCTAGCTTCAGGGGTGCAACATTAGGCTAAAACCTTAACTGTGTTACATTTAGCCTAAAACTAAATGAATAAATAAATGAAATAGCAAAATATTCACGATAGGTAATGTAACACAAACAATGTACAACTTTAAATTTCATCTTGTGTAATACACTTTACTTCTGAAGTGAAGACATTTTTATTCAAACATCTAGAATACCAATTAATTCAGTTTTTTAAGTTTTTATTTTACATTTTGAAATATTTCATTCATGACTCCTTCCAAAATGCTGACTTCACAAATAGTTTCCCCCGGTATATTGAAATTTGAGCAGTACATGTATATCATTAATTTATCAAAAATTCATATGAGTCTGAAATTTTTACTAACATTTTCATTTTTCAATTTTGAAATGTAAAAACAATGATTGTTTTTAAGATATGAGTCAACAAATTATTCATTATTTCCACTGAATATTAGATTTGCAGATGGTATATTTCTGGGTGGGAGATTTACAAGGGGTTGCTTGTATTCCAGTACAGTAATAGCCCTATGCCAGCAGCTCATTAAAACTAATAAGGTTCCCTGCCCAAACACATGTTCTGCATACATGGAGATATGCCTGTGTAAACAAATAATTCTTCCTAAACCAACTACTTCCGCTTATATTGTACAACCCCACACATCACCCCCCAAATGTTTGGCGATTTCTCAGTGCATTTAGACATTAATGAGAGGCAGTACTCTTACTTTTACACCATGTGGTTTTTTTCAATACCTGTTGGGGCACTGATCCAGCTCAAACATATGCTTGACATGTCAATTAAAAAACTGATCCGACTCATTAATATGCTTGACAACTGTTCCAATTCTTTTTCCCATATTGTCAAATTTAGGCTGTCAATTCAAGATTTTTCAATATATGTCAGAGAAAAAAAATGTTCTATTTGAAAGGCTGAATTGTTGTAAACAATTTCACTGCTGTCAAGATTTATCAGATGAAAAATCATAATATATTTGGAATATTCTACAAACAATGATAAGCTAAGCAATGAAACCATTTAGCAGACATTCAACAACTCTTAACATTCCATTGTGTTGCCTAATTTACAAATTTTCTTTTCAAATGTACACAAGGCAAAATCTTTCAACATCTATGAAACATTATCTCTACATCCAAGTTTTTCAGTATTCCATGCATGTTTAGATGTCTTTTCAGATATAAGATCAATAAACAAAACCATGTAAGTTTTAAAAAATTTTCATGTTATTGTAGAATAAAACGCTCAATATTTTCAGTGGAACAGTAGATCTAAATAGCAGATTTTCGTCTATTCTATCATGTTAGGTGCACCATTTAAACAAACCGCAACTCTATTGGGCTTGGTAATATAAGTGATGGAATCGGGTGTGCTAAACAGATAAGTGATGACAGACAGACAGATACAGACCGACAGACAGACAAACAGACATGTGACTTCAGGAGAGAATCTGTCAGTAATTCAATGGCTGTTCCTACTTGATATAAAGTTTAAATGAAGGTACAATTTTCAACTTCCAAATTCTACACATTATCTGTATACATGATTAACCACAAGCATTAACCAGATCTCCTGAGCTCTTAATATACAAAACCATCTCTTCAAAACAGATCTATACAACTTCAAATTCTGGCAGATATTTTCGTTCAATTCAATTCCATTGCATACGTGACTGTGTCAATGTTTGGTCTTGGTGAGTTACCTCCCCTGCTTCCCAGCACCCCCTCTGGAGACATATGGTATATAACAGTACTCAACACTGCCCTATTATTTAAATCCATGCTTTCTTTCTGCCAGAGTTCCTTCCAACTTTAGTTCACGGCTATTACTTTTCTGCCATCATTATCCAAATATTTTTCTTTCTCAGCATGGCAAATTCCTGATTTTTTTACTATTTCTGTCCCAACATATCATGCTTGAACAACTAGGCATGCCACTCAAAGCATAGTTAGCTTTCTACATCAAAATACATTTTTTGGTTTATAAAGTATGCAAATGCCATTTTCCTATTGCATCAAATATTCATTGTTTCTTTGCTCAACTCTTCAAGTTGGTCAAAACTTATAAGGTTATCAAAAATGGTTTGTATATTCAATGAGATTTTAAATGAATGATAAGTTTTCAACTTGATGATTCGAGAAAGATAACAATGCTTTGAGAATATCTGAGGAATGCATACAATTCCAGAATACCAGTCTTGTACTTTCCTGGGTTAAAACCCTAATCAAGGCAAATAAGTATGTTGTTTAAGTTAGATCCCAAAAACCTCCCATGTCTTCCTTTCAATAAAATAGATTCAGTTGAAATCCTCTAGGAGATTTGAATGAACAAGTCATTTGGTAGAATTCTTTTTTAGAAAGACAGGTGGGGACTACTGTCTATCAGACCCTGTCAAAATGACCGCGTTGAGTCCATTGACTGTTAGACATTGTTAAAATGACAGGGAGGGATCCTTAGTCCAAGAGACCTTATTAAAATGACTGGGTGAAATTCATTGTCTGATAGACCTTGTTAAAATAACAAGGAGGGGTCCATTGTCTGTGAGACCCTTTAAAAATGACAGGGAGGGGTCTATTGTCTGTGAGACCTTTTAAAAATGACAGGGAGGGGTCCATTGTCTGAGACCCTTTAAAAATAACAAGGAGGGGTCCATTGTCTGCGAGACCCTTTAAAAATGACAGGGAGGGATCCTCAGTCCAAGAGACCTTGTTAAAATGACACATTGACTTGGAGTCTGCGTTAGAAAGGAATATGGCTATAATGTTTCGATGACTCACTTAAGTCTGGATCGCTTTCCCGTACTGGACGGTGACGATTTTGAACACACTGCATAATGGGCTGGTTGACACCATGACACTGTCTCCGGATAATGTATCTCTGTTTCTGTCTGCCCAAACCAGATACCATGTGTGTACCTCTACATATTAAGTGACAGTTGTAGCTTCTGGCTGGTCTGCAGCATTGTTCAGCATCTAAGCAAAATGAAATATATATTTAGTCGAAAAGATAGAAAAACAAATCTGCTTTGTACCATATAGAACACTGAATGATAACAAAATATTGCTTTTTACACCTTTAACAAAAATATAACAAAATATTGCTTTTTACACCTTTAACAAAAATATGTTATTTATTTTTTCTGTATTAGTGATCATGTTCTACACAAGAACACATTTTTGTGACATTTTCTTTTTCCACTTTTCAAATTGTCTCCTATTTAAACTTACTTAGACTGATCATCTTAACAGTTCTTTACACAGATGTATTTTACTAATATGCTTGAAACATAAAAGAGGCTTGAAGGATACCCTTAGCCTGCCGATTATTAAAACAAGAGACGTAACTCTTGGTTCACTTACCTCCATGTTTTTCTATACATTTATATAACTTTGTTTCTGTACTCTGGCTACAATTCCTCACAAGTTCTCTGACGCTGGTCGCCTGAAATAAAATGCAAACAGTTTTACATACATGCATGTACAGTTATTCATAAGAAAAGTCTGTGAAGCATATTCTTTTTAAGTTGGTTTTTTTAACAGATGAAAACTTATCATTGTCTCCATGGAAACACTTCATTTTTGCAAATTGATGTAAGTTTTCTTTCAATTGCCTCTCCTTGACTCGTCCCGAGTAAGAATAAGATGATGATCTAGGGTGAGGTTGTAATTTCAGAAAAACGGCACTTAAAAATAATTCTTGTTGAAAAGCTCTATCAACTGTGATTTCTTGTATTCTATAAACATGTCGTGCATACTTCATTGACTTCAGCACATCTTCAGAAAAAGATGTTTTTTTAAGATACTCCAAGGATCTGGCGAAGTGTTATCATGTATCTATAGTCATGAAATGTGTTTATTCTGTTAATCTTCTTGTAAAAAAAAAATAATACGACATCAAAACTATGATGCAGAATTTGTTACTATGTTCATTATCCAAATAAAATGTTTCAAATATTCCTTAAATCTCAACTGTGAAATGTTTATCCTGGATTTCAACTTCTCTATAGAATTTTCACTTGCAACTCAGTCCCCTTCATTCCCCTGCCAACTCCTACCCCTAACCTTTTCCCACTCCTAGCCTGTTACCCTACCTGACCCCTCCCCACCCCCTCCCCCAGCATACCTTGCCCTGAGAGACTGACTGCTGATCCCACATTTATCTAGGTATTATTGACTCTTTATTGTTTAAAGCCATTATTCCATCTTACTGCTTAGGACAACAGTGTTTTCAATTCTGCCAAAAATTATCAGCCAATTCAACCTTTCATTATGGCAGCTTCCCTCCAACAAAATCTCAGCTGAGCATACTTATACCTATTAAAGTGGAAGTCTAATCTATGTATCCTCCATCAGGTAGAAATGCTGTTTTGCCGAGCAATCTAATGGCCTGCCAAACAGCCTTGCCACTATAGAGTAGCACAGAGGGAGACCAAGTTCTGCTAGTGCAAATCTTTAAAACGCCATAATAACGGCGATTCTCTAGCCCGTTTTTGTGATTCGGTAAGACTTGTTAATATTAAGAAGAGCTGCATGGACAGACATTTGGAACCACGATACAAAATTTCAATTTCTTTTTTTCCCCGCTTCTGTAGCACTGTTTTTAGAGCGCATAGACAGCTTGAACTTTACCACGACACTCCTAAATGCTGCTACTGTCTTGTTGTCGTAGACTTATCTGGTGCAACATCTTATCTTGTAGGATATAGAAAACGATAGGCAGATTAATTGCAATTTTTAATATTTTTTTTCGTCGACTTCCTTTTAAAATAGAGGTCTGTTTTAAAAATCTCTCACTACAGTGCTAATCAACAGCATGCTACTATTAGTCCCTGAATCATCTGTTAATTTCAGTCAAGTATTTATTAAGAAGTTGAAGCTGAATTTTTTTATAACTTATTTTAAGAATTTCTCCTCCACAAGGGAGGGTTTTTCTTGTTAATATCCACATGGGTATCTATCTTGTTAAGGAGATCCCAACATAATAAACAACCTATAATTCATCTTAACAGCAACTGACATTCCTCTGAGGTATTCCCTGCCACCTCTTTCCCCCAATTGCCCTTTCGTCTTCATTTACAATATACCTTTTCCCTTGAGTGTCGCCCATTTTGACGGTATTGACTATGTAATGGACAAAGAGGAAACAATGTATTTGTATAGCTCTGTAACAACATCTGGAACAATAACTCTATCCTACATACTAAAATAACATACTTATGACTTTTATACATTTGAAAGGTCAAAGTTCAAGACTTCATTACCCTAGAAAGTCACAAAATTAATGGGAACTGTCTGAAGTGTGAAACTGGCTATAGTATAATGGTAGGAGGCTGTCAGTCATATCTCCAGGATACCAGATACATATGGAGAAGCTCCAGTGGCTTCACTATACATTCACAGTCAATTTACATAGAGATATCATCGCCTATAAACAGAGTGTATTCAAAATATCATGGCAAAAAAATACATAAATCTACTTCAGAGTGTTTATCAAATTTTGTTGTTGATATTTAGTCAAGCTTACGAATGGAACTCCCTTTGACATCATCCCTGGACATGTGTACATGAAATGCGAAAGAAAAATGCACAGAAACACATCTGCCGCAGCCCAAGCAATAACAGAATACCATTTGACTGGGACCTGTCAAGCAGTGTTACCATCACTGAAGCCAGGAAGAGGGAAAACTGTGACTTTAGTATATCACAATGTCACACCAATCAATCCTACCAAAGTGATGATGGGTTTTATAGGCAAAAACTGCCAATGTCTGCAAAAATTCCAACCCTGTACTGTCGGAACTGCTTCCCCCGAAAGAGTTCCAGAGACATTTTTGACTGGCATATGACGTCTGTATGTATATAGGTTTGGTAACATTGCTACACCCTTTGTCAGACTTATATACCTGATATTTATACTCCTCCCCTTCCACTGCCCCCATCAGTACCTAGTAGGTATTTGTACGGCACTAGGTGTGAACTTTGCCTATGACAACTTCTCATATATTACATACTTAGTATCAATAAATGTTTGAGCTGGGTTTATTTTGGTACTACAGATAAATATATATAAATTATTTTTGGGATTGGAACATTTCACCTTCATAACATACCTTATCAATATAAAGATTGACCATAAACATTTCTCACTGTTCATTTCATATTAAAACATCTAATGTATTTTTAAATGACATAGTGATATCTGAACCTTGCGATTTAATTATGACATAAGATTGAAAAACACCTTTAAATAGCACATGTCCTTGTGAAGTAAGATATTAATTACATATCTCAAAAAAGTGGGTGAAAACAATTGCATGCGGAGTCTTATTTCATATCAATGTTCTTCGAAAATGTAGTTTGAAATGGTAACAACAGTTTCTGGTATTGAGCTGGGAATGGTACAGATAATGTTATCAAGACCACCCAGACTTGGGGTAGTGCAAAACATTCTTGTCGTATCCAAGTTATATTCTGCACCAGTCAAAATGATTGTGATCTCCAAATAACACTAGTGCTTGATAAAGAACACATTTGGTAGGAGGGGATCCCTCTGTGGAGTTTGACATATCATGCATTAAACACGGTATGTAGTGTGGCTACAAAGACTTCTACGCAATTTCAAAACACTCAAGTGCCAAACTTATAATTGTGTGGCGTTCCATTACAAAACTGGAACATTTTTTAAAATTATGTAATGTTTATTTAAATGTCAAAACTACAGATATTTCTATCAACAATCTCTTTCAATGTTTTGACAATTGCAATGTTTTGCAGAAAAAGAGGAAAAAATAAATAAATGAATACCAGTAATCATCATGCGGAAGTAGCATAATTGTAAAAAAAATTCCTGTACGTGACACTTTGAAAAACAAGCAAAATTTTATAGAAATGTTTATTTATATCGGTTGTTTTTTTTTTTGTTGATCATGTCTGAAAAAAAGATGCAAAATCTGTAAACAAATCCAATTTCTTTGAAATAAAGAAAGTCATTGAAATACTCTATGCATTACCTTAATCAGATGTTAGTGGAAATGAATTTACGTATAATACAGCATTGTGCATTAGGACATGTATATATATATGTACATATGAATATCTGTGACAGATTTTACAAAAGGCTCATCATATACACCTATTGACTTCCCCCGAGGACAATATGAAGTTTCATAAACCTAAATGTTAGCTTAACATACCTGATAGCAGGCTTCCTGGCAATACCTATTGACAGCTTTCTCACAGCATGGCTGTGCTGACCATGCCATCATCGACTTCACCACTGAAAAATATAACAGAGAATTTATAAACAAATGATTTATTAATTTCAAGCAGGTCTAAGATGTATCTGAATGGTCTGATAGGAAGCTCAAATTAGGCAAAGTTAAAATTAGAAAAATGATTCATTTACAGGTATAAAGCAGTAATCAAAAATAATTCAAATCTATTTTTGGTACCTTTCTTCCAACATTTTTTTAGGCCATCAACGAAATTCACTAACCTATTATTTAAATCTACAACATCATAAAATACAGATGTTTCATTGATTTTCAAAGCATAACTCTTTTATAAAGGAGGTACAATGTGTCTGTAGTAGACACCTCCTTAAATGGGTAGGTGATGACCTATATATTTTTTGAAGAGGATCAGATTTCAAACTGCCCCGTCACACAGATCTATAGGCATGCATTACCAGATCTCCTGATTTAAAGTGTCAGGTGACTTTAGTCTTGGCTGTTAACTGAGGCATAAAAACCACTGATGAGCTATGGACATGACTATCAATCATTTACCACAGGAAAAACAAGTAGATTCTACAAAATCTCTTCGTCTTCATTACCTGCTCTAGTGAGCTCAAAATCAATGTCTACATTTAATTCAATTAAATAAATTAATTATTTTCACAAGCTTTTGTTTTGTTTTGAAAACTTGTCAAAAGATCTTTTTCTCCTTTGTAAGCTGATTTCTGTTAATATTAAGCCAACAGAAAGATTCAAGTATAAGCATATTCACCGTTTTGAAAATATTCTATTACAAAGAAAATTACACTAATTTGTCATCTTAGTAAGTCAACCATGATATCAACCATAATAAAGACTGATGGAAAATTAGGCTATAACAGTCATAGGCAAATGCCATTTTATTCTGGTACAGTATCAAACTATAGCAAATATATAGGAATGTATGTAAACATGAGCCTATTTAAATGTCTGATTTACACAAGTATGCAGATAACACAGATTTAGTTATGGTTGTAAATATGACTTATCTGCCAAAGAAAAATGAGCTAAATTTAGGAGCACTTATTTAACCACATGGTGCACATTTTATGCCTGGTGTAATATGTCCAAGAAGAGACAAAGCCAGTAAATCTCAAGAAATAGTGAAAAAAACTGTCAAAATTCAAGATGGCCACCATCATCTACTGGTCAGACATAAAATGTGTACAACTTGGGACAGAAGGGGATCTACATATGAAGTTTGTGAAAGATCCTTGCAGAACTTCTCAAGAAATAGCGATAACAAAGACCACAAATGAAGGACAATTTGAACACTGTTTTTAGATGATGAGCTTACAGGTCCAACATATTAAAAAAAGGGGCATAATTCCGCAGAAATTTGAAAAAATCTCATTACCGAGGTCTGACATAATTATACAGAAAACCAGATTTGACTGAGTATTTGTGCTAATGATTCATGTAATTTAAGGGAGCATATAATATTCATAAAACATAACTGTACACACTGCTAATTCAAAAGGTGCATACCAGGAACATTACGTAATTTGATCCCTACACATTCCCACACTTCTGTATTCAAACTTAAACCTTATTCAAAGGAAAATCACTATTTTGATACCTTAAGTGTAAAAACAGTTTTTTCACAGCAAGTATTAAATTTCCTTCAATTATATCTATTGTGTAAGTTGGCTATATGTATACACGCCCATTCACTGCTTCTCACGTAATATTCTAAATATCTGACAGTATGCTACATATCTACACAGTTTCCCGTCAATTATCTCACTACACACTATTTATATACAGCAGATATTTATCCCTCCCTCAATGACTCAGGTCAATCACAGATATTTCCTCCCGGCAGACCTCATAGTGCTGCATGTGTACCAGTCGCCCACAACTTTTTGTCCCTACAAACTTAAAACCAATGACCCTCTATCAATGTTATACTGCCCACGGAGGACGCACACAAGTGTAAGCTTTTCTCCTTTCACTATTAGGTACTATATACCATCTGACCGATGATCTGATAGCTGTCTTGTTTCTGTAGCTGTTATTCATTGGACGAAAGACAATTAACCATCCCTAAGACCAAGTTAGCAATAGAGGGAGCCACAATAATTAGTCCTGGTATTGCCCATATACCTCTCCAAACTTTCTGTAGATGTCACGTCCTAGGATAGAGGACGGACAACCAGAAGGACCTATACGAGTCTTTGTATGGCTTATATAACCCACTCTCTATCAGTCTGTAAGTTTTCTGTGTATGTTTATTGTCCGATAGGATATGGACAACCAAAATGACCCCATACTAAGTTGTTGTATTGCCTATACACCCCATTCATATTAGTCTCCAAGTTTTCTGTATATGTTAATTGTTGGCCAGAAGTCCTTGTATGGTTTATATATATGACCACTATCAATCTCCGAGATTCTGTTGATGTCCATCATCGGACAGGAGAAAGACAACCACAAGGACCCAAAATAATTCCTTGTATGGCCTATATACATGACTAATATCGGTCTCCAAGATTTCTGTTCATTTCAATCATCGGACAAAAGACTGACAACCACAAGGACCCAAAATAATTCCTTGTATGGCCTATATACATGATTAATATCGGTCTCCAAGATTTCTGTTGATTTCAATCATCGGACAGAAGACTGACAACAAGAAGGACCCAAAATAATTCCTTGTATGATCTATATACCACATTTCAACCTTTCAACCTCCAAGACATTCAAAATCTGTTATCTCTTAATTTGCTCTCCACTTTTAATAAATAAGTTATGCAAGGCTTTCTAATTTTTCCTGATGACATATTCACAATTCATTTCAGTTTTAATATGTAAACATACTGAGAAAATTGATCAAAACAAATCAAGTGACACATATATATCCTTCCTGCTTACCCGTTTGTATGAACTCTCTACCTGCACTTTAAATTCTACATTCTTTCTATGTACTCTAGCCCATTGTAAATCAGCTTTTGTCAGCCCATAAAACAGGTGCTACTGGAGATTGTCTAGGCCAGAGTGTAATTTAGCCGGGTGTAATTTACCCTGATAAGACCTCAGGAAACATAATGGGAGGAGCAGACGACACCCGACATAGCTAGCTAATGTCTCTCAACCTGTGTGGCACCACTCACATTCAAAATTGAATATCAGTATTTTTCGTATTATGCTAATCACAATATTTTGGATAAGAGGCTACAACTATTCACATTTAAAATATTTCTTTAAACATTTTTTACTTATAATTTATCAAAGTGAAATACTGATTTGTTTCTTAATAAATGCTATTTGGCATACTGTACTCATGATTAAATTTTGAATTACCTCCCTTAAATGATATGCATTTTAAGTATGAGTGTGTCTTGCCCCTCAGAATTACAGTGATAGTGACAATACCGTATCAAAATGTCAGGAAATAAGCCAATCCATATTTAGTGAGTCTGCAGAATCACCACCAAATACTATTTCATTGATCAGTAATAAGCCCACTTCCCATTTCTTGAATTTTAAAATTTATTTGTCAAAAAAAATGTAAAATCGTTTCTGTAATTATAAGAATGGAAGTTACAATTCAGTTCTTTATAACTAATTAAACTTTTTTTTACATGTGTCAAGTTTGTCATATCTTGAAACTATCTCTATGCTGTAACCCATGTCTTACATATACATAATTGGGATGATTTAAAAATACTAGGCTTACATAACATTTTAAGCGATGAAAATCCCCTGCCTGACAGAAACACATGTGTAGTTATTTAGATTAAAAAACAAAATTCTCTGTCAATCCCTATCTCTAATGCTGTTGCGTGTCAAAAATCTCGGTACCACTTCCGTAAGTTTTTGCATGTGTCAATCATAGAGTCCTGGCATCCTGTTACGTAAACAATGCCTACTGCGATACACAGAAACCAGAGATAACCCACAGAAGAGTGTGAAAATATTTGGGTAAGAGAATTACATAACTCCTAGTCTGCTTTAGTCTTTCTCTTCTGGATGTCACTTTCAGGAAACGGTCCAGATTTAGAATGATACGGTGATTAAATTAAAAACTGACAGAGAAAATCAGCCTATTCTCATTCTTGCATATTTCACAAAATAACTTTTTTCATACCTTTTTTTTCTTTTGGCGTGAAAAAAAAATTACAAATAAGTTTTCAATCCATAATAACATGCGTGTGTTCATCTCTTCATACTCAAAAATGCAGGATGCCAGGAACATCAACAATTAACTAGTGAAAACTGTTATCCATTTTAAAGCAGTTGTGAGACGCTCTTACTCATCCACAACCAACAGTGTGCAAAGTGTCTTATTTCAAGCATGGAAAGAAACTAGAATATTGAAAGAAAAATGGCACATGGTTGGCTTGATGAATCCATACCTTTCCAGTCCACTCAGAATAAAATCATGGTTAATGAGATGAAGGGCGAATGACATATGAACAAGCCTGAGATAACAACCTTTTCTACGTATCAAAGTTTTAAGTCCCAAGACAGTAGGGGCAGACCCTAAAGCCAATAGTCTGTACCCTCATCCATTGCATATAGAATACACTGGGTTTCAATAACTATCCTATAGGCAAGGGGGACCCCAAGAGCATTAATATGATAGCATGATTCTGTTTATATCCTTATATTAAGTACACAGGTATATAAAGGATGTTTCATGCTAAGAGGCAGGGAGACCCTGATACTTAATGTTGAAGCACGATAATATTTATCAAATGCAGACCCTAAAGCCAATACCCTTTGCCCCAAACCATTGTATATGGTGTATCAAACACTTCAATACCAAGGGTAACTATCAGACACCAAAATATGATTGTGTGTACCTCTTCATGTTAGGTATTTCAGCAGGTAAATTAAGGATCTCAGTCACAGGTATTTCATATTGTGAAGCATAGGGACCTTTAGAGACTGAACATTGTAGCATAATTGTGTGTCTCTCTTCATGTCAGGTATTTCAGTAGGTAAATTAAGGGTCTCAGTCACAGGTATTTCATGTTGTGAAGCAGAGCACCTTTAG